CCTGCTCCAGAGTATTCTCAAGCGTTGGGGGTCTCGGGTGTTGTTGTTTCTGAAGGCTACTGCCATCCACCCCTCTCTCTCTTTTCCTTACCCAGCCAAGCTCTCTCCTTCCTGATTTTCCTTGCCCACTCTTGAGCCTCCTTCTCACCCCAATAAGGGTTCATTTCCACTACCTCTCTCCATCTCCTCTCAGCCTCCTCTCTGGGCACCATGACCCATTCCCATTTCTTTGTCCAGGGATCTTCTAACCAGATCCATTCCCATCCCGGGGGAAGGTTCTTACCACATTTATATGATTTGGCCTCCCCCGCTTCCACAAACCCTTTTCTTCCTCTCCCTTCACTCCTCTTCTCTCCCCTTCCCCTTGTTCTTTCTTTTCCACCTAACTCGTTCCCTGGCTCCACCCCTTTTTGCCCTGTCATCTCAGGTTTTCTCTCCCTCATTCCCTGTTCTGGACCTGTCATCTGTTCTCCTAGACCCTTCCACTTCTTTGTCTGTTCTACTACTTCCTCCAGCATCGTCACTAGCGGTTTTCCTTTCTTGCTTGGCTCTAACTCCTATGTTGAAGGGTTGTTTTCCTCTCAGTCTCAGGGATCTTAGGCTTGTGCACACCAATTGCTCCGTGGATGAGGGACGGCACCTTGCCATCCTTCTCACAAGGATTTAAGCACAGGATTCCTTTGAAGTCTGATTTCTCAGACTTGAAAGACTGCCTCTCCTATGTTAACATCTCTTCAACAAGAACACACTTTCGTCTCTAATTAACTATAACATCTGCTTCCGCCTTCATAAGAAAAGGAAATAAGTCTGATTCAGCAAGGATTGCCAGATTTATGGATGACAGATGCAAGCTAAAGCAGAGAAATTAGATTTGAGATTTAAAATAAATTCCTATAAATTTAACATTTTCAAATTAATTACATAATATTGCATCATTTTATTTATTAGAAACATTAATTTGTCACTTTTTAACTTATAGAACTACAGTAAATGATGCACAGACCCAAAGTGATACACAGTGAAAAAAGACCAAAACATTCTATAAAAACTACTTAATAAATCAGTGTTAAGCTAATATTAAAAGTTAGTTTCATTTAAATAGATCTGCTGACCTGAAAACCAGCTTTAAAACCACATTTACATACCGAAGGACATATGAAATAATACAGTCTTGTCTGCTTCCCAGAAAGTGATGTGCTGCTACAGAGAAAGCTCTGATTCACCAATCTATCTTCATGTGGTAATGGGACATGCCACAGGGCCTTTGTTAATGATTTCAAATTCCAGGCTGGCACATTCGGGAGGAGGTATTCTTTCACATACCCTGCATCGAAGCCACTTCGGGCTTTACAGATCAAAACCTGTGTGTAGTTCCAGTTTGTTTCCAAACCCTCTCCATTTGGAATTCTAGGCTACATGGAAACCCAGTAAAGTTGATTCAGGATAGATGACACATGGTTTATAAAGTACATATCAAGTACAGTGGGGTCTTGACTTGAGAACTTAATCCATATTGGAAGGCAGTTCTCAAGTCAAAAAGTTCTCAGGTCAAATCTGCATTTCCCATAGGAATGCATTGAGAACCATTTGATCCGTATCTGCTCTTTTCCGTCCATAGAAACTAATGGGAAGCTGCTATTCCGCCTTCGACCACTAGAGGGGGATATTTTGTTTCTTTTTCTCTTAGGTCAAGAAAGGTTCAGGGAAGGCAGGGAAAATACAGTCCAGGCAGTACAGTACCAGGCAGTCTGAAGACTGTCTCCCAATCCACTCTCTAAACGCTGGGAGGAGTGAGGAAGCAGACAGGCACCCTTTTCACTGGCCAACAGTTAACTGAAAGTTCAAATTTTGCACTTTCCCTGCCTCCCACGTGGGTTTTTTCAGTTCTTAACTCAAATCTAAGTATGTAAGTCAAGTCAATATTTTCCTATGAGAGTGGTTCTTAAGTCAAAATGTTCTTAACTCGAGCCGTTCTTAAGTCAAGACCCCACTGTAAGATGTTTGGGTGCTGCATTTTGCACTAGTTGTAGCCTTCAAACAGTCTTTGAAGGTATTCCCATGTTGATCTCATGGGAGTACTGTATTCTAATTGGTAGGTAACTAAGCTATTCACCACTGTGGACAAATCTGCCTTTCCTAGGAAGAGATGCAGTTGGTACATTATCTTAAGCAGATCAAAGGCACTCCAAAATGGCTTCCAGTGGCCATGCTAGAAGAGTTGCTTCAAGGTGCAAACCAGCTGCTTGAGAGAGAGTGCTGGATGAAGTCTCTGTCCATCCATATTCAGTCCCTCACTACATCTAGGCAACAGTTCAGGACTTACACAGCTTCCTTTGCATCAAATAATGTAATTGTTGTAAGCCGCCCAGAGACCTTTGGGTAGTGTGGGCGGCACCAATACTTTGTGTTAATATGCTATTTTTACTTCAAATGCTTTTCCTTATCCAGTACTATATCTATATTAACATTTCATTTGGTCCCTGTGTACATTACATAATATACCTTTATGTATGTAGTTACACACCCATGCACACACCCACACCACGTGAGCATTGTACTATATGTGTGAATTATAATTTGTGAAAGCCAAGTCTGAAATAAATTTCTTACTCTTAAAGGAGAAACAAAATTTTTGTTTTCTGGGTTTTTTTATATACACGTTGAGACAGACAACATCGCTGTGTTTCAGAAAATAGCTGAAATACAGAGATAGAGAGTGGCATCATCAAGAATAGTGATCAGATTCATCTTTAAAACTGTGGTTGACATTTTCCAGTCACTTCCTGTTTAAACACTGAAAAGAATAAGGAACAACAGTGAGCTCTGCAAAGTTAATTAATGGCCATGAGGCTAAATAGCTCTCCCCTAGCACCACCTTCAAGGCAAGTTCAGCCAAATTGGGTCTAAACCACTGCAAAAACTATGCCCTTGCATCCGGTATCAGTCAGATGGCCAGAAGGATGCTATGCTTGATGGCATCAAATGCTGCTGAGTGGCCAAGTAGAATCAATTGGGATGCTGTCTCCCTGTCCGGTCTCTAACCTATATCACCCACCAAGCTGACCAGAGCTGTATCTGTTTCAAACCCAGGTCTGAACCCAGACTGAAATCGGTCTAAGTACTCCAGTTCATTTGAGAAAGCCTGCAGCAAAGTTGCCACCACTTGCTCTGAGACCTTACTTTTAAAGGCAAGGTTGAATTCTGGCCAATGGTTATCTGGGTTGGTAGGAAGTAGCGATGGTTACGGATTTTATTATTGCTTCTCTTAGAAGGTTTGGAATGAGATCTTCTTTTAAAGAAGGAATCACAACCTTCACTACTTAGCCAGCCAGCCAGTCCTCCTCTGATACTCTTATCAGCCAGGATGGATATGAGTCTAACAGCTAATTGATTTTACTCCAAGTGGCCACTGTGTTGGTTGAGCCAAAAGTGGCTGTTAATTGTTTGGCTAATTCTTTTAAGGTGTAAAATTGCATTTTTTTTTTAATATGACTTCCCTTATTTTGAATTTGAACTTTTTATAACCAGCTCCAAACACCTTGGGAGGTTTGATCGGTTTCCACATCTGAGTCTCCAGTGTGTACACTTTCTGGTCAAACCTTACTGAAGGTTTTCAACCATTATCTTTTCTGCCTCATAGATGGTCTTGTGAGAGGTGGTGTTTGGTGTGAAGTTTAAGTACAATAAGCAGTTCGCCATGGATAAAATCTGAACCTGCTTCCCTTCTCCTTTGCCTTTTGTCCTCTGACACATGTTAAATTTAGTACTTTTGTCATCCATTTGATGAACTTGCCTTTCCCCGTTGGTAAGAAACAGTATACAGTACATTGGCAACACAACGTAGCTGTTTCTAAAAGGCTGAATGCAATACTTCGTTCCTGCTCATAGATATTATCTGGGGATGCAGAGAATTTATAGGTATAGTCAGTCTGGACATAATGTTTTGCACTGGTGTGGCACCAGGACACAGCTGTGCAGTCAGAGATTGTATGGAAGCAGTTTCTTAGTACAGAAGTTCTCAACTTTGTACTTGTACTCTCAGAAATTCTGGCCAGCACAGCTAATGGTGAAGGTTTCTGAGAGTTTTGCTCCAAGAACGTCAGGGATACAAGGTTGAAAACCACTGTCTTAGTACCTACTGAGTAATTCTGAGTTGCTTTTTGTAGTTTGCTATTGATTTGTTTTGTTTTTTTGTTTCAGTGCACTTGTTCCCTTTATTTTACACAACTATTGAATGATAAACCTCCAGTAACCTTCTTTAAGGACTATTTCATATATTTTTAAGAAATAAAAATAAAAATTGCCCCTCTAGCAACTGGGCACTTAAAGCACAATGCAGTGAAAGATCTGAAAACTTTCCCAAAATTTAATTAAAATCAAACAACAGCATGATACGCTAGGGACCAGGTTAGATGTAATGGGAAATCATGGTTTCCTGCTATACAAGTGAGCCTGCAAAAGCCTCCGGCTTATTTACTCCCCCTCCCTTCTCTCTTTCTGCATGACAATGAGAACAAATCTGGAACTTTTTTTGTTAACTTTTTAGCAGAAAAGTTCCCTATTACGTCCATATTCAGGCACCTATATTTGGTCAAACCAGGATCTACAACCACAGTTTTATACTGCCCTATATGGCTTGAGACCTAAATATTTGATGAAACATGGCTTTCTCTATATACCTGATCATTAACATCAGTTGTGGGGGTGGGCATAGTGTACTGGAGCAGTACACTATGTGGAGATGCAAGAGAGGGCTTTCTTAGGTCTAGCATACACTCCTGGTGTAGACACAGAACCCCAAACAACATATTCTAAGAATTCCTAGCATATCCTGCTGGGTGATTATCTACTTCACACAGGAGTAATCAGATACCCAGGTTTCTCTGAAAAATGCTTCCTTGATAACCTTATTAATCACTTCTGTGCCTAGAAATGAAGCTTATTTCTCTATGCTGCCATGAAATTCCAAGTAATCTGTTATCTTTCTTCTTTTTATTTAGGAATAAGAGAAAACCAGTATGATGCTACCGCTTGGGAAACATGCAAAACTGTGCAGTTTAATAAACCAGCAAAGAAAGAGGTGAACTGGAGAAAGGTAAAGATAAAACAAAACAAAGCAAAACAAAGCAAGTAGCTTCCATATTAAAGTGTATGTACAGACAGAGGTAAAAGTCCCCTGATCAGCACTGGTCAGTTCAGGTGTTTCTCCTGACTAAACACAAGGTTCCAATTGATAATATCTGTGCCTTACAGATATGCTCATCTGTCCTACTTTGGATAATGGTATTATTTTATCAGGCTTTGGTGTGGGGAAGGGGGCAGAAACTAGCATTACAGTACTTCCTATGAAGAACTTATTTCCATGTCAAAAACTCCAAATTAGAATCTTTTAATTAATTCTTAATTTAAAAGAGGGGGGGACTTCTGCAGAGCTGCAGAAAGGGAGTAGGTATACAAAGATTCCTCACACGTGCCTCCAAGAAGCATAGGCAGGTCATTTTCAAAGATGTGGCTTTTGCAGTGGAATGGAAACAGGAAGGCCAGTAGCTGTGTGTGACGTCCACCCTCATGCCCCTTTGCTTGACCTTCAGGCCTCAGAGCACACGAAGGCAAACACTCTCCTCTTTAACACTGCTGCCACCAGGCAATCTCTAAATCACCATTACTTCAGAAGGATTCAGGTCCACACTTCAAGATCTTTTAAATAGAACTATTGTTTATTGCCAGCAGTAACTTAAATTGATTTATGAATATTTCCAGTATCTAATCACACCTCAGAATTCCCCAAACTCCACACTCTGTTACTCTGTCTGTCTCTTACTCTTCTGCTTACTGACTCAGTCTCACTTAATCTGCCTCTCCTGACTCTCTGACTCCGCCTCTTATAGCATCTCTCTCGGCTCCGCCTCTCAGCAACATTAATATGCATGAATCATTCCATTACATAACAAACATGAACCATTACATAATATAACATGAACCATAGACCTAATAAATAGAGAACGCCGCACTGTGCTCACTACCTTCACAGTTGTTGAAAAACAGCCCTGATGGTTGCTTTATGTTTGGGTGAGAAGTGGTTAACTGATGGGAAAAAAAGGAGTCAGCCTCTGAGATTTTTCCCTTGCCAGGTGTCATTTTGTGAGGACAAGAGGGTATTCTGTATAGACCATCTTGACTGCTGCCATTGGCATTGTCAACATTCAGGCTGCCCTTTGTTATGTAAAGTTGGCATCCTTTTTCCTGTTGGCAACGTGGGTACAATATTGTGCAGCAATATTGGACCATTTCCTGGCTTTTTGAATCATGGATACAGAAGCACAGTATCCCTATCCCACATTCATACACCAGAGGTTTTTTGAAGAACTGAATTTATTTGCATGCAATATTTTGCTTGTATTTAGTCAGCAGAAAAGTGAAGCAAAGGGGTAGCTAAGATGTTGCAATTCTGTTTGCAGAATATTTATTCATTCATGTACCTTTTACTTTCTTGTGAAGAGAAAACAGTACACATACTAGGAAGAAAGACGCATTCTTGAACTACATCATGGGTCCAGTATTAGAAGTAAAAGGGCTTGGTAGGTGTTCCAGAGTGTTTTTATTTATTTTCGTAAACGGCACCTATTGGTTTACCAGGTTGCAACAAAACTAATGCAATTTCTTATCCTTATCCACTCTTGCTCAGTCTGCAGTCATTCCCTGCTTAGGTTTTATCCTCTCCATATTTCATGAGGGCTCTCGTGGTCCCTTGGTCTCTCCGGTTCACTGGTAGAGGACCTGTTTGGATTGGCAGGTCTGTCACCTCCATCGCTTCTGGGAAGAGTGAGTTACTAGTCCATTAAGGCTGACCTTCCAAGCAGTAACCCACTCCCCACCTTTGGTGGTGGTATCAAACCACCTTCCCAAGGCACACTAGTTTCTCCATTTTTCTCCATTCCCCCTTCTCCTGTGGAACCACCCTTTAAACTCTTGGTCCTATTCCTGGCTGGCACCTCCAGGTGCCTGGATCATGATGTGGGTGGCTCTTCTCCAGCTTGGCCAGCTCTCTTGGCATGCTCTGTGAATTGGTCGGATGACCAGCCTGGCTCTTCCTCATCTCCTGGTGCCATTGGATGCCGGTAGCAGGCTGCTGGCATCTCATTTATTGAGGTGATGGGCCTGGGTTGGTTCATTCTGCTGACCTCTTTACACATGTATATGATGAATTATATGCAATGCACCATTAGGCTATCATGTTTGACAAAACATGAAGGGCATTCCCAGCTAGGACTGGATGTCTTCTCTATTCAGAGAGGTTGTTATTAGCAATCTAAACCCTTTCCATGCAGCAGGAAAGAAGAAAGAGGACAGGGGTAGGCTGTTGTCATCTTTCCAGGCTTTGTTGCCACCTTGTAACTTCTAATCTGTAAGCATGTAGCCACTCTTTGGTCATCACTCACTGGTCAGTACTTTGATCAGCACTGTAGACAAGCATATGTATGTTTTTGGGGGTGTATTGCCCTCATGGTCTGTTTGTAGAAGATACAGTTGTAGAGGATACCATTCGTGTGAAGGTTGTTTGAAGGTTATTGGTTAAGACAAGGTAACCAGTCTTGGGAAATCCACTTTCATAGCAAAATGGGATTCTTGCTGTGACAATCAAAACAAAAATCCAGCCTAGGCTGGACTAGATTTATAGCTAAGAAACGTAAATTGTAATAATTACTTCATTTGGAACACTATTTGCTTATTAGTGATAGTATCATCTTTAAAAAACAAAAGAACTGAATATGTATTGTCATCATAAGGTTTCCCATTCATTGCTGCAGGTTTATCAATACTGTCTGACCATAAAGCAAATGGGAATGGACTATTAACCAATGCTCCGCAATCGAGATGCAAGGATTTGTATATACAGAGCAAGTTTTTCAGCTTTCTTCCCCTCCCCCCTGCTTCCCCTCTCTCCAGCACTGCACTGCATCACTCTTTAATGCTGCATTGCATTGCATGCTAATTTTTTTAAAATGGAATTTGAGAAGCATCTTGAGATATAAGAGAGGAGAGAAAGGGAGAATCCTGTTCAGAATACACCCACACCCACAATGAATCTCCTTTATATTTTTCTGTAAGATAGTAAATGAGTATATGTAATATGCTGGAGAATTTTTTAATAAGCATCTATGATAAAAATATATGTTGGTATCTCCATTTGTTTTAGTGGGACTTGCGCTGCACCACTTCTCACTGGACATAAAGGAAATAAGGAAAACGGGAAATGATAGGTGAAAGTGGGGGTGTTGCCATCTTTCTTTCTGTTCTTGTGTAGAAGACAGACACAATTTCATTCAAATTTATCTGTGGAATTCTCCTTTGCTACTTTCCATGTTGACAGTATCCCAGTTCATTTCCAGATGATCAAATATTCAACACTTCTGTGCCTTTGATTGACATCCATTGATACTTGATTACAGCATTTGCTTTGTGCAAGTACACATTTAATTGTAGTTCTACTAGACAGAGCTGGGACACAAGTGGTTTTCAAAGATTTGGTCCAGAATCTTATTGGTGTTCATGTAAGGTTCGTACAGCTTGCTGCAGCTAATTGACAAGGTGCATGGGTACATCTCATTTGTGTGTCGGCTCCTATAGATGATTGTGCAGCTGAAATATGTCCTGGCACTTAGTGAGTTCTGCAGTTAGCTATGACAAGTCATGCAAAACCCACTGCAAACACCAGTAGGATTCTGGTTGTTGTTTTCTTTGGGGAAGTGTTTCCACACTGGCCTGCCTGTTAGGATCCCCTCTATATCTGCAAAGAAGAATTGGGCATAAAGTAGCCGAACTGGTAAATAATTGAACACATATTGATTGATTGATTGATTGATTGATTGATTGATTGATTGATTGATTCATTCATTCATTCATTCATTCATTCATTCATTCATTCATTCATCCATTCATTCTTTTAAAGAAACTACTATGGAGTGTCTGAAAAGAGGACTGGTTTAATCATTTCCTTTTCTTCATATTCCAAGTGAAATATTTTCCTTTGACCCACAGGGGAAACCACTGTTTGTTCCTCAAATAGGTTTTATTCCTGGGGCAAACAACAATTTTATTTATTTGTTTTAGGAAACAGTGCAAAGGGACAAGGTTTATTCCCTCCCCACACTGCATTCCCAATCGGGATGAGAGTGCCTTCCATCTGCTGCTTTTTAAAGTTAAGCAAATGGAATCACAGATTGGGACATGTTGTAGGCCACACTGTGGATTGCTACAAGGCACTGTTAGCTTTCCCTACCACCCACTGGGTAGTAATTGCTCAGCCCTTTGTCCCATCAGTCACTGTGATTGATTGGGGGGGGACACCTGAGGGGGAACTTCTTCTAAGAAGAACATTCATATATTTGCAAATGTCATGCTATATTTATCACTGGTAGTATATTAGGGCACCGAGGATTAGTAGGGATCAGATGGTACACTAAGAGTTCAAAATTACTGCTAGCATAGTCAAATGCTGCAGATGTGTAATTCACGGCAGGTAGCATTTGTAAGAGATTGCATGTCACTCTTGGAAAGAGGACATGAGGTTGAGGGGAGGGTAAATTCTTAGCACCAAAACAAACATGTGGGAAACCCTGCTTCAAGAAGTAGCGTTCCCTCATTTAGTGAAAAAGTGTAATTGTGAGAACATATTACTAGGAGAAGCTTGTGTGTTGTCTGGATTATCTCTGAAATGTAAATAATGTTTTTGTTTGGATTTTTAATTTGTTATGGATAACTAAGCAGACCCTATTGCTGAGGAGGAAAAGGGTAGCAGGAAAGATGCTGAATGTGGGTTTCTCTGGATGTGGGATTTGGTCTTTATAGTAAAGTTTAAGAAAAAACCATGCCTACCTAGACAACCTCTGTTTTCCACCAGTACTATGTTTAGCTCTGGTTGAAAACCACTGCATTGGAAAACATTCATTATTTTTCTTTTGTAGTTGTGACTGAAGCATCCATCATGTGCTGCCTTATTGTTGAGAATCTCTGAAGCCTACTGAAATTTGGAACTAGCAAAAGAGAGAGCAACGGAACTAAACCATATTGATTCTGAAATAAAAATATGAAATTGAATTTGAGTTCAAAATTTCTCGTTCCACATTTATATAATGAATGGGGGGATTTTATCAAAATTTAATATACCTAGAATTTTGAAATTTATTTAAATTATTTTATCTATATGTCTCTATTGGACAAGGGAGCTTCATATTTGTGTCTCGGGGGACATGAATATGAAGCTCAGCATTGGTCCATTCCTGCCCCCCAGAACCAGCCTGATCCACTCACTGGGCTCCTTGCAGTGCGCATGTCCAACGGCAGCAACATTGCACCAATTGTGGACATAGTCCCCACCTCTCCCCCTCAACTGACCAAACAGCAGCTGAGAGGGGAGACTTGTCTTCCCGCGTCCTTGCTGGAGCAGTTGGCTGTGGGGAGAGGCAGAGTACTGCTGGTGGGACTATGTCCATGATTGGCACTATGTTGCCGCTGTAGGATGCACGTCCTGTGAGCAGCCCAATGAGTGGATCAGGCTGATTCTGGTGGGTGGGGGTGGATCGCCACGGCACCTGTGGTGCCGAGCTTCATATCTGTATTCCCTGGGATATGAAGCTCCCATGTCGAATCTGTATATACACATACATATATAAAATGCAAAAAGAGAACAGATTAAGATTCACCATTATTTAGTGCCATGTTTTAATTGCTAATTTTCTGCAAATTAGGATGCTGTGAAAGCAACTGAAACAGAGACCTCAGACATGGAAACTTTAATGTCCTCTCAGCAGTGCTTCGGGAGATCTATTCAAGATAGAATGCACTTATTAAATTAACGCCTTGTACTAAATAGACTGCTTCCAGGCCTCTTGAAAATCAGTAAATAGAACTTTAGAAAAACACTGTTTCTTGATATATTTACTGCTGTTGCAGCCCAAGATAGGCTTCAGCTGGTAGGCTGCCGCTGAATAAATAGCAAGGTATTTAAGAGGTTTCTAGGTATAGATATTTTTCTGTTGGGTGACTTTCATAAAAGAACTTGCATAGAATTAGGGATTAAAGTAGAACTTGCAGTTAAATAAAGTCAAAAATCCTGATAAAGATCCTGGGTTATTGCTGCTGTAATTTATATTGCATTTCAGTTGAGAAAGAATTGTAAGATGTTGGGAAGGAAGGAATTAGAAAAGATAGGAAAGAGTCTGAAATCAGTCTTAAATACTCCGAATCACTCTGAATTTTTCTACTTAAATCCAATTGATTAGCTTGGTTTTCTATTACGAAGTAATTGGTACATAATTAAGTTGGTCGTATGCTATAACTGTTTGTAGAAAACAGTCCTAGGTTAACTGCGTCATCTAAAAGAAATCTTGTTTATGTCAAGAGATACGGCGATTGTCATTGTGAGAGATAAGATTGTAGGTCAACATTAAAGTATGCTGGGCTTATGTTTCCCTGCTACAGTATTTTGTGCAGCCAGGGGATGTTGAACAATAGGGAGCTAATGAAATAAATAGCACACAAAATCACTGGAGGAGATATGTGTATGCTGTTTGTGACATGCGAAATGGAAGAATACTTGTTCTTTTTCTTCATAATCAAAGTGAAATATTTTCATTGGGTCCAAAATGGAAACTGCTGGTTTTTGCTCAGATAAACAGGATGCTGTAAAAGCAACTGAAGCAGAGACCCCAGAAGTGGAAACTTTAATATACTCTCAGCACTGTTGTGGGGCAGATATATTCAAGGTAGAATTCACTTGTTAAATGAACACCTTGAACTAAACAGATTGCTTTCAGCCTCCTTAAAAATCATTAAATACTGTAGAACTTCTTTTCCTTTAAAAACACACACCTCTCTCTTGATATATTTACTGCTATTGCAGACCAAGGTAGTCTATGGCTGGCAGTCTATAGCTGAATAGCAGTACATTTGCTATTCAGCTGTAGACTACCAGCTGTAGACCACCAGTAATACTTTTATGCTTTTGTGTAACAGCACTGACCCAACACCCACAGAAACACTCTATAGAAAATCACAGCCCACCTATGTAATTCATTTTGCAATGCATTTGGAGACTTGAAGTGCTTAAAACGCTTTAATATTTCAGCAAATCGGCATGAAAGTGCAGTGTGGTGTGGGTTATAATCTGAAATTGACAGTTACTATTAGCACATACATTGTTAAACAAACATAAGACTATATGCCCAACTGAGTAAATCAATTAATCATTCAGAAAAACAGTTTCATGAATGTATAATCTGCACACAAGATTGGCCATAATTTCAGTCTTACTCTTGTAGGCATGTCAGAGTTGGTTTTTGCCACTTAAAAAAAGAAACAAAGAAATGGTCTACAATGAAATCATACGAAGTGGGATATAAGAGGAAGCCCTGTATCAAACTGTCACAAATACCTTGTAGATAATATTTTGTTTCTATGTGTTACTAATTTGAAATATTTTATCTTTGCAGGACTCTGTGCCATCACAGAACACAAAAATGATTCCATCTCTGCTCATTTCACAGATGATTGATGAGAATAAATCAAAAGAAAATAAGGCTGCTTTCTCTGTGCAATCTGTAATCACCCAGTCTGATGTTTGTCACATGAACCAATCTTTGGCTAATCATAGATCAGTCAACATTAATAGAGCATTCGTGTTGCTTCCTAGAAGATTAGGAATTCAAATATCTTCCGATGACAGTGTGTTTGGAACAAGCATTGATAGGGAAGAGGACAAACAAGGGCGCAACCAGAAGAAAGGCTTTGCTTCCATCACAATCACTGCTCGACGAATTGCTTCCCCTTGTAAGAGTGAAATGAAGGTGGATGAATCCAACCCTTCTTGTTTGAAATGCCAGGAGAGTAAGCTGGCAATAAACACTGCTCCTGCTTCCTGTGTTACTGGGCTAGATCAGCTCTGTGGATCTTTGCACACTCAACAATGCTGTCAGAATCAAAATGCAGCTGAAATAAGCGTTTCCGAATCTTGCCTGCCACAGTGCAAGGGGCAGTCTGACTGGATTTCTAGCACTGAAAGCAGAGGCAGCCAAGTGGTTCCCCCAGGAAAGAGCCATAACAAAGAAGCATCACTTTCTTTCACTTCTAGTGTTCACGTCAACATTTCTCCTCAGTGTCCAAATTCAATATATTACATGGATAAATCTCTCTCCGTGCCTGTCAGTCAACCTCGGACAAAGCACCAAAAAATTCATAGGTCAGTAATGTCTTTTAATATAAATTGCAGTTCTCCCAATTTAACGCCAGATGGAGTGGATGGTTTAGCTAATGGGGAACTAATCACAGAAGTACTTAAGACAAAGGAGGAGAGCAAGATACCGCTCAAAGCAATTTGGAATGTAGATCTCAAGGAGAATTTCTTGGATAAAAAACAGACATTGCAAACAGACTCTTTAGGGACTGAGTATCTCTGGAAGGTTACCACTCTGTCTGAAGCCCTGTCTGTTGCGGGTAGCCCTCAAGGACATGAACAGCTAAAGCCAAGAAAGAGTAATGATGGGAACTCAGGTGGCAATCACATTACGTTGTCCTCTCACATTCTTCACTGGTCTTATGATGAAGGTAAGTAGGTGACATAAAGCCCAACCTTGGTTAATTAGATATCCAGGATTCAGTTAATCCATCATCCTTTTAAATTCCAGCACCTAACTTTTATTTTTTGGTAGAAAATAACCATATGGTGAATCTGAGGGCCCTTTCACAAATTATATTTTGTTCAAAATATGCAAATATAGCATTTATCTGTTGCATCCTAGTGTATTAATACTATTTTTATTTTCCTATTGCTGCAAATACATATAAAGAAGTCCCTGATTTTTTAAATAGCATTTGAAGACCAAAGTATAATATAAGAAACAGCTTTGAACTGAAATTTGAAATATCTGGTTCTGAGTTTGCGCTGACTCAATAGGCACATTCGTGCTATTGTTTCTTTCCTGACATGGGAGCTACTGAACAAATTCTGCAACATTAATAAGGAGTGCCACTTCTCAGGATACCATATTCTATTTCTTCTGTAGATGATCGTCAGAATCCAGCTGGTTCTTTTCTTTAGGACTTGCTTCAGCAAGACAAGTGAAGGATGAGCCTGCCTCTTCCTTCCTGCCCATTGTGCTCTCCTAAATTTGTTTCAGTGGGCTTGGAAACCCTCCAGAATAGATGGGGCTGTAAGGCCTGCACAGAAGAGAAGAAAAAGAGGGGAATTCTGTCACAGTGAACAGCAGTTCAATAACTCAACATTGGATTTCATTCCAAGTTCTCAGCATGTGTCCATAGACATCAGTATTTATTGCAACTTAAAGGTAAGGTTTAAGCCTTACAAACTGAAAGCAGAATACTGGGGAAAGGGTCTTATATGTGCATATATGTGTTTGGAATAAGAAGACGCTGACAGTGTCATACTTTCTGGCATCTGCCACCAAAGTCTGCAATGGTATTCCAACATGATGTTGTCTTGACAGTGCATTGCAGTATAACATTTTACCAATGTGACTAGCAGGGACACTTTCAGAAAAGAAGGTTTTGCTTCAAGATATGAGAGATCCCAGTACAGTCAGGACCCAGAGCTGGACAATTTCATTGTTGTTGTTGTTTTGTCATTAAGTCATGTCCGACTCTTCGTGACCCCATGGACCAGAGCATGCCACATCCTCCTGTCTTCCACTGCCTTCCGGAGTCGGGTCAAATTCATGTTGGTCGCTTCGATGACACTGTCCAACCATCTCATCCTCTGTCATCCCCTTCCCCTCTTGTCTTCACACTTTCCCAACATCGGGGTCTTTTCCAGGGAGTCTTCTCTTCTCATGAGATGGCCTAGAGTGGTCACTAGACCAGATAGGGGGGATATAAATAGAATAAATAAATAAATAAAATAGTATTGGAGCCTCAGCTTCAGGATCTGTCCTTCCAATGAGCACTTGGGGTTGATTTCCTTCAAAATGGATAGGTTTCTTCTCTTTGCAGTCCAGGGGACTCTCAAGAGTCTTCTCCAGCACCACAATTCATCAATTCTTTGGTGGTCAGCCCTCTTTATGGTCCCGCTCTCACTTCCAAACATCACTACTGGAAAAACCGTAGCTTTGACTATGCTGACCTTTGTCAACAAGGTGATGTCTCTTTTTTAAGAACCTGTCTAGGTTTGTCATCGCTTTTCTCCCAAAAAGCAGGTGTCTTTTAATTTTGCGGCTGCATGGCCAGTGGCCATGATCTTAGTTTTTTTGATGTTGAGCTTCAGACCATTTTTTGCGCTCTCTTCTTTCACCCTCGTTAAGCGGTTTTTTAATTCCTCCACACTTTCTGTCATCCGGGTGGTATCGACTGCATACAGTATCTGAGGTTGTTGATATTTCTTCTGGCAATCTTAATTCTGGCTTGGGATTCCAGTCCAGCCTTTCGCATGATGTATTCTGCATATAAGTTCAATTTCATTGTAGGCTCATGTTTTTCTACATTTCCCTCACCAGAATAGCCAGAAAGTCTTTGATTTCTTACAGTTACAGTACTTTGTTTAATTGCAACAGCAAAGAGTAAAATGTAAATCATTTTACTCTTCGCTGTCCGCAAAGAGGGGAGTCAGTCCAAAATATATTGCCCTCTTTACAACCTAGGCATCAGGAGGCTAATGGGAGGATGCCATTCACAATGTGCCTGTGAGACCAAAGGAGAACTGCAGGGGAGTGGGGTGGCGTGGGCTAGGGGAGAGATACAGGAAAGAACCCTCATCATTTGTAATTCACCTTCCTGTAACTTCAAGTTTGACTCGTCTTGCAAAGTTCCACTAACTGCTGTAAAATGAGATACATTTTAGAGCGTTCAGCAACGGTATAAGGAACAGTGTTGTAGAAGAATAGAAAATGTGCAGTAAGAGAATAGAGAGGCAGCACAGCGACTTCGGTAAGCAGTTTCAAGGGAAGTGAAAAGGCCAATTCATGTTCTTTCCTTCCTGACCTGGAACCAGCTTAGGTCATATGTACAGTCAGATTTGGAAACGCTGTGTTTACAGATTCCCCCACAGTGCTCATCATCACTTTTTCCAAACTCACCATGCCTTTTTTTTTATAGACACACCTCAAAGGGTCTTGTGTGTGATATCCTTTTTAATAACGCTGATAAACCGTTGTGAGCATTAATATTGGCTGTAGTCCAGCACAAACTGCTGAGCTCATATCTCAGTGGTTGCACCCTTTAGCCCCCTGATGTTAAATATTATTAAGAAAAGCTTGTGTGGCTGCAGGACTATTTCTCATATGGCAGACGTTTACTATTTGATGTTTTTCAAGGGGATTGCTTTAAAAAAAGAAGAAGAAATAATTCTGTTCAGACAGAATGCGATTGAAAACAATACTTTCTCATTTCTGTGCACTACACTTAAAGGCAAGCTTTTAATTCTTTAAGAAATGGTTACTAGTAGTAAAGTAATGGAACTATGCTTTGAAGGAAGATTGGAATCATTGGAATGTACTTTTTTATAAAATAAAAGAAGAAAGAAAAATAAGCCAGCTAAACTTTATTCAAATATAATAAAGTACTATAGCTCAGTATCAGAGTCATTACAATTAATTAATTGACTTCTTGAAACCTTTGCAATTGAAACAATCCTATATTTTCAAAAACTAAACACAATGGAAAGCCGTTCTGAAACATTACTTTCCCCCCTCCTCCTTTTTAGCTATGTCAGTATAATTTTAGTATAATTTCCTCCTTTGTTCCGTGGGAAGGATTGACTGAACAGAGCACATGCAATTGTATTTGGAAAGTCTCACTTTTATCTACCACATATAAGATGGATTTACACAGAATGATTATCAAAGAAAGTCAAAGAAGAAAGTACAAAATCAGAGTTAAAATTGAACATTAAGAAGACCAGAATCATGACGGCTGAAGAATTGCATGACTTCAGTATTTACAATGAAAAAATGGAAATAGTTAAACATTTTCAGTTGCTTGGTTCAGTCATCAGTCCAACCAGAAACTGCAATGAAGATATCAGATAAAAACTCAGATTTGACAGGGCAGTTATATAAGGATTTTTTTCTGGAAACCAAGATTGTTCATACCAGTGGTGGCAAACCTTTTTGGGCT